GCACTAGTTTGGAACCTACACCTGGTCAAGCACATCAAGAAATTAGAGAAAGTGCAAAGGTTTGCAACAAGACTAGTTTTAGAGCTATAGATTAAAGATTAAAAAAAAAAATTATATATTTTATTTCTCTGCAAAGGTTACAGTGTGTAATTACAATTTTGATTTGTTAAGTACAAAGAAAGCCACTATCATGCCAGGGCATTTCAGACAAACTAATCCTACTACATAATAGCTACTTAAGTCTACACAAGACAAGAATGGTAGTCAAGGTGGAGGTTTATAAGAATAATAATCTTGAAGTTGCACATAATAAAAACAATATTACAATTAATGGATCAAATGGTAATATTTTATGGATTGGCAGATGTTTTAAGACTTGAGGGCATATAATATTTGGGAGAGTTGCTTCAAACTGATTAGGAGTTGTTTTGGTTATTATTGAGAGATGAGATGATTCTTAGTCATAGCCCTAAATTTGTATGTAGTCAAGGGATTCCTTAACTGGTTCAGGTAGTGAATTCCAGGTCTTCGAGCCCTTTATCTGTATTGCATTTTTGCATAGTGTGAGACTGACACGAGGGATGTCGAAGAGTGCCTTGTGCCTTTTATTGTGACTGTGCGTTCTGTTGTAGCTATCAAGAAGTTTAAGCGAAGGGTTTATATTTGAGTTTAATGTTCTGTATATATAGTAGGCACAATAATGTAAGTGTATGCCTCGTACATTTAGTAGGTTCAGGCTTTTGAAAAATGGTGGGGTGTGCTGTCTGACAGAGGAGTTGGTAATCATCTGCATAGCAGCTTTTTGTTGGATTATTAAAGGTTTAAGGTGGCTGGCTGTAGTTGATCCCCAAGCACAAATACCATAGGTGAGGTAGGGATATATTAAAGTGTGGTATTGGGTAAGGAGTATCGTTTGGGGCCCATAGTAATGCACATGTATCTTGGAAAGGATGCCTACTGATTTGGAAACTTTCTTGGATATATGCTGGATGTGGGAATGAAATTTAAGATTACGGTCAAGGTGAAGACCTAGAAATTTACCCTCAGTGTGTCTTGTAATGGGGGAACCATTTATCGATATATTAAGTTGGATATTTAAGGCTCTGTTTCCAAACAGCATGAAGTATGTTTTGTCTATTTTGAAAGTGAGTTTGTTGGTCATCATCCAAGTAGATATTTGTAGTATTTCCTTGCTTACAGTGTCTCTAAGTACATGTATAGCTTGATTTGAGTGAGAGTAGACATAAGTAGTGTCATCTGCAATAGAACTGTTTTAAGGAGTTGAGATGCATTGGGGAGATCATTGATGTAGATGAGAAAGAGGAGTGGGTCTAGGACACTACTCTGGGGCATTCCGACAGCTACAGGCTGGATAGTGGAGTTGATTCCATTTGCATATACATACTGGTGTCTGTTGTTAAGATAAGATTTTAGGTAATGTTCTTTGATGCCATAATAGTTTAGTTTTAGGTGCACGAGATCGTGGTCCACTGTATCAAATGCTTTCCATAGGTCAGTGAAGAGCCCCAGTGGATATTTATTTTTATCGAGGGCTTAATATATTAGTTCAAGCATTTGTATAATAGCATTATTCATACTTTTTTTTTTTTTTGGTCTAAAACCAAACTGGCAGGGGTAAAATACGTTGTTGGATATAAGGTACGAGTAAAGTCGTTTGTGTATTATTTTTTCAAATATTTTAGAAAGTAAGGGCAAGTTTGATATAGGTCTATAGTTGTTCAGATCAGTTGGAATACCTCCTTTAAGGATCGGGGTAACCCTTGCTGTCTTGAGTATGAATGGGAAGGTTGAGGACTCTACAGATTTGTTAAACAGTGTTGCAGTAATGGGTGACAGCACATGAGATGCTTTTTTATATATGAATGGTGGCAAGTTATTTAGATCTCCTTCTTTGGTTTTAATGATTTAATGATGAGTGAGACTTCAGTAGAATTAGTTGGAGCTAGATATAGAGTATTTAGGTAGTTGCCAGTGAGGTAGTCGTTTGGCTGGGTATTAGAGCTAGGAATTTGGCTTGTGAGCTTTGATCCTACAGTAGAGAAGAAGACATTAAATTTGTTGGCCATGTCTATAGGCTGTATGTGAGGTTCATCTGGTTTAGTTAAGTTTATCTCTCTGTTTCTAGACAGTTTTCTAGAGCCCAAAATTTTGGAGAGGGTTTGTCAAGTCCTTTATATATCACCTTTTATTATGCTAAAGGGAATGTCCTATGAAGAGAGGTTGAGGGAAATCGGCCTGACGACACTGGAGGACAGGAGGGTTAGGGGAGACATGATAACGACATACAAATTACTGTGAGGAATTGTCAAGGTGGACAGAGACAGGATGTTCCAGAGATGGGACACACAAGGGGTTACAATTGGAAGTTGAAGACTCAGATGAGTCAAAGGGATGTTAAGAAGTATTTCTTTAGTCATAGAGTTGTCAGGAAGTGGAATAGTCTGGCAAGTGACATAGTGGAGGCAGGAACCATACATAGCTTTAAGAAGAGGTATGTTGAATCTCATTGAGCAGGAAGAGTGACTTAGTAGTGACCAGTGAAGAGGCAGGGTCAGGAGCTGTGACTCTACCCCTGCAACCATAGCTAGGTGAGTACACATTCTCTCTCTCTCTACCTCTGCCCCTCTCTGTGCCTCTCCCTCTATCCCTCTCTACTTTATACCTACCTGTTGGATATTCAAGCCCCTTGCATACAAAAAGTCTTTTACCTCCTCCCCAACTTTTCCTAGGATGACCCCCTTACCCCTCCTTTACTCCACTACAGATTTAACTCTCCAAATAAAGTATCACTCAAAAATAAAATAAAAAAGTACAAAAACCTAAAAGATTTTGATAAAATATGGATTACAAAATAACTAGCTAAAAAAATTTGATAAAATCTGAGAATATAAAATAACTAGCTATAATTGAGATGTGGCTTGTATATATAATCTATTTTGTAAGATTTGGAACCAATTTGTGTTTCAGAGGTCAATAATATTGATCCTAATAAGAATCATCATTAAGAAGAGATTTGCATGTGAGAAATCCACAAAGCACACTTTCAATGATATTCTGTTCTTGGTTTAGGTTTAGGGATCATGCACCAAGGCAGAATGACATAGGCTCTACAAAGAAAATAAGCAAATTTGTAAGGCAAACAGTATAGTGTAGGTTAGGCAGGTAGAGATATAAAAATTAGGCTGATTTGAACACTCAAGGTCTGTAAGGTATACTCAAATTAACTCGGTTGTTTTTCAGTACAAATCATAACACAATAAGGGCTGTGATGAAGCTAAAATAATCTCAGATTGCAGCTATGCCTCTAGTAAATAAAAATAAAAATCAGCTATGATAGGGGCTACCCTTAATTTAAACCTATTAAAAGACATTAGAGATTGGACAATATCATGAGGGTACCAGTAATTAAAGTTCTTGAAAGGATGAGGATTTAACCCTTTGACTGTTTCAGTCGTATATACGTATATGTCTTATGAGCCTATGTGTTTGACGTATATATACTCAAAAATTCTAGTGGCTTCAAATCAAGCAGGAGAAAGCTGGTAGGCCCACGTGTGAGAGAATGGGTGTATGTGGTCAGTGTGCACAGTATAAAAAAAAATCCTGCAGCACGCAGTGCATAATGAGAAAAAAAAAACCCGACCGCATTTTTGGATTAAAACACCAAATTTGAGGTGTATTTTCGTGTAGCATTTATGGTTGTATTCTTGTTTTCTTGGTCTCATTTGATAGAATGGAAAACATATTATAGAAATAGAAGTGATTTTGACTGATTTTGCTATGAAAAGGATCTTGAAATGGAGTGCAAAGTAGCAGAAATGTTTGATTTTTGCCGAAGTTCAAGAGTAAACATTGTGCAATAAATGTCCAACTAGCCATTGTAATATGCAGTCAAGAATGGGTTGACATTATTTATACAGTTATTACAATATTGCATTAGTCTGCATAACAGTAAATCTTCAATTTTTTGTGAATAAAAATTAAAAATAGAAAGCAAGAGTATTATAACAAGGGCCTAGAGACGTGACTGATGAACAGAGAAAATATTATTTTAGTGCCAGGAATGTCTGCATTGTTCATTCTGGACCCTACTTTGAAACTGACATTTTTTTATTTGCATGAAATTGGCCAAATTGCCAATTTCTGACCACTTTATTGGGTAGTTGAAATCTGTAAATGGGCGGTTTCTTGTACTCAGTCGATAGAACAAATGGAGTTCTAAAGAAGTAGCTGTGAGTTTGATCGGCTGGAACAATGGAATTGGCCAAAAATAGGGCTCAAAGTGGGTGAAATCACCGATGTGTAAATGTTGCTGAGGTCGCTAACTTTGTGAGAGCATAATTCCGTAAGTTTTCCATCAAATTTCATACTTTTGATGTCATTATCATCGGGAAAAGATTATCATTTCATGAGAATTTTTTTTTTTTTTTCAAATATGTTGCGACACCAGGAGACACTTCAGGATTTGGGGTTGCAACAACCAAAGGGTTAACAAGGAGGACAGGTCATGTGGCCTGACCTAAATTTCATAGTGTGTATTGATAAACCCTCTATTGACTGGATTTCAGAAATTAGGAATAAAATATCCTCGGGCAACCGATTCATAAACAATGGGCAGTCTGTTGCTGGGGCAACTGATTTGGAAACAAACTTTATTAATTAGACAAGTGTCCATTTATTGTATGATCATGGCAAACTCTTGTCTTTGTCCACCCCAAGTGCCATTACTGCCCAACACCTCCCACCTATTGGAATCTTAAATTGAGGGTTGCTACACAGCATAGAGTGCATCCTTTAAAATACTACATTTTGTTTCTTACACTGGTATCTTTTTTTCCATACACACACCAGCACTTAGAGCTTAAAGCCTCTTACAACACAATCCATTGCCTAGCATCTAGTTCATAATATTATAGCTTTTTTTCCACACACAGCATCACCTTGCACCAGTGCCTAACACCCCACTCTTCACTGCTTAGCACCTTCGCCGTGGACTCACACAACAGTGAAAGGGACCAAGTGTGTGGCCCAACACAGCTGGCAGCATGAATGGTTTTGGCCTTCAGGTGACCACAAGTGCGATAGTGTTCCAGCCACTAATTCCCACGAGACGCACCACCATAACATCTCTCTCCGTCACATCATCTTTGCCTTCCAG